TCCATTAATACAGATAAAAAGCGGCGGAAAGAAGAAGCGAGCAAGAAAGAAAATTTTGTTCGAACGGTGGACGGTCAACACGAAATACCGTCGCGCAAACATTTTCGAAAACTCGGTAATCCGTTGGACAAAAAAGAGTTTCTCTATCTGTCCGCCCTCGAAAGCGTTTCAAGTCGCGCGACATTTATTCGGGCGCTTTCTGTTTGGAGAACCGCCGCGTTTTTCGGCGTTTTCGCCCGGTTCTTGTTTGCGCGGTTCTGGGGGAAAAGCGCTGCGCATTTTATCGAACCCGCTCCGTAATTCTACGGCGAAGACGCTTAACGCCGGGATCGGGTTTCGAAGCGGATATTTCCGATTTCGAAAGGTTCGCCGTTCGATCCGCGGGAAATTTCGCCGGCGGGTCGCGCGACGGACGGACAGACGGAGAGGCAACCGACTAAAGATAGCGAAAGACGAAACTGAATAAGACGGGTAACAAGTGTGAGACTCGCCGCGAATTTATAAAGATAGCATCCGGCGCAGATGACGTTCATTAGGTTCTTTATGACGCACTTTGCGGCAATGAACGATCGTAAAAGCGTCCATTAGCGGGACGCTACCCTGCCGTGATTTATAATCTGTCTTCAGCTCGTATTTACAATGTGAATGTACGAATGTCAATTAAATGATTGTTGCGTATCGTGGGACTTACTGCGCAGGGAATGTTGCAAGGTGTTCGTACTCACCGGTATCTGAAACAGAAGAAGAAATTTGTTATTCGAACGGTTTCTCGTAAGGCGATTGGATTTATGAAAAATTAGGAACGAAGGAATAAATTGGCGTTGCAGATTTGTTGGTAGGAATATGTTCATTTTTTGCTGCTTATATAGTGACTTGTTTTAAGGGTGAAGTTGCGGGAGTTAATTTATTGTTATTTATTTTCCAGTGGTAAAAGAAGTTGTTTTAGTTACGAGTTTGTTTTGATTTCGTAAGATAAGAAGTCAGCTGATTCGAGTGATTGGAGTGCAATACAATAAAATGTGTAGGAATAAATGAAAGGTCAAATGGGTAAGAAATCATGTTTTCTATTTTGTAGATTTTGATGGAATTAATGTAAGTATTACAGTTAAGGGATGTAGGTTTGAGTAACACCTATTGATTGTACCGAAAGTATTCAGTAGTCATAACCTGCACTGCTGAGAAATGTTTCGTTTGTAATTTAAATATATTTGTAACTACTTCCCTCGCTTCCTTGGAAAGTACATTTTTAAACTCGAGAGATTTATAAGTAGAATTACCATCATAAGTCAGACCTACTTCTTCAGTGCTGCATTATGCAGGATTCGGTATAAACGGTAGAACAAAAAAATAGGTTATCCAGTACAAAAATCGAATTGAACATTCAGTTAAAACAGTTTGACTCAATCTTTATTTCCGCGGCAGTCGAATGCGAAAAGTCGTCGCGAAGTAATATTAACCTAATCGATATCCAAACGAATAAAAAATATCAGTAGAACGAAACAAAATAAATCAGCCACCCCTCTCCCTCAATCTATCTCCAAAAATTCATCTCACTTTACACCATTCCTCCTCAAATTCAATACAACTCCCATCAATAAATACATAAAAACCAAATGCTTCAATTAACGATCAATGCCTGAAGCTCTAAGTAGTAACAACAAGCATTAATCAGACCTGCAGCAGTACACGCCACACGAGCTAAATTCATATAAAAATACCGCAGAAAATTCTAATTTGCACCGGGGCGTATCCGAAACTACAGTTTGACAATCTATGCGACTAAAATTCAAGAATCTATGTTCAACAAGCTTCCGGCTTGGATGATACGCGGAGCGTCGCGACGATAATGTAAACATAAAAATACCGGCGCGCGGTGCTCGCAGCTGCTGTACGTCTCATATTGTCCACGGCAATGAAACTGGGTAAGTGCAATTTGCATAAACACTTTCGCACACTTTTCGCGGCCACTTTGAAACCATTGAGCGGCGCGTATTACCATACGGACCGCGGGTGTAACGACGCGGGCCGTGACGTAAATTTTTCACTTTACGCCGGCCGGCGCCGTTTTTCTTGAGAGCACCTAACGCCGCGACCCGATACACTCAGTATATTGATACTTCTGCGTGTACCCGGGCAGCCCCTGAACCCTGAGCACACGTCCCCCGCGCGGCGGACGCGTATAAATTGCCGACGGATCGCGCGATAGAAAAATACGACGCGTTCCGTTCGACGCGGAAACGGTCTGGCCATCGACTTCCGATGCGTCCGCGTAACCAATAAAGCGGACAGATGATCGGCACATGAATTTTCGATTCGTAAAGGGCCGCCGCGAGTGACTTTCATTGTGCCGAAACTGGTATTACAGGCACCTGCATGTTTTACGACGGCGATACTGCTGGCGAATTTTTTTTTGGAGGAACGACGGCCGTACTGCGTTGGGATTTGTAGATTTCAGAGGAGAATTCAGGTTGTTTCGCGTGGATAATGCTTAATTCATATTGTAGTACGGAAAATTGACTAACTTGATTGTTATGCCAGAGGTGATTCTGAATAAAATTTTGAGCAAAATTTTTTGGTTGTTATTTTAGTAAATTGTGAGTGATTGTAAGATGTTTATTTCATATCTGAAGTATTTATTACTATTTTATAAGCAAATAATCTGACAAGCTGTAACGGACGGAGAAAATAAAATTCTCGTTTTACTTCGAATCGTGATCTAACTAAACCGTTACTAAAATTACAGATGCATTAACCATTAACTGCGTTTGACGAATACACTATTTCATAGTTTGAGATGATACTAATTTTCCCAACGATGAATGCTTTATTTTCTCAGATAAACATATAATTCGTCTTTATTTCCTTTAGTTTATTATAAAAACATACTCTAGATGCATTCGTACTGCATTTGACGAGTACACACTTCATCGTTTGATCTTATTGCGCAAAACGAGAGATTTCTCAAACTAAATACGATTTAATTCTCGCAAGTGTTAATTTCATCTCCATTCCAAAATACTGAAGAGTGAAATGAAATCGATGAAAAAGCATGGCGAATATTCCTCGGAAAAAAGAGAATGCGAAACCATTTTGACTGATCTTCAGGAAAATTGACAATCGGTTCAGCGCGTGCGGATAAAAAGGCAACAAAGGTCACTCGGAAAATAAAAACGAGGCGAGGACGGCGGTTAGCCGCGGTTAAGATAGCCCCTATTGTCCGGTGTACTCTTTTTCCGCCGGCCGCGGTATCCGTCAGTTGCATTCCAGTTACACACGTTGCATAAAGGCCGCAAGATTTCAGTGGAACTGCAGGACTGGGCAATTCAACGGCGGGAAATCAATTTCGTGCCTAGCAATTTGCTTTCCACCGCAGCGATCGCGTCCGAATAATACTGACTATTCGGTGATTGTTTTGCGATAAGTCAAATAACGGGATCGAGGGGTCGCCGAAAACACTGGCCGGCCTTCTTTTGAATACTTTATGACCGTCATGCCGTTCCATTTGATGTCTTGCTCCTGTACGCAATTCTCCGCGCGCCACCTGCATTGTTCCACTATTTTCCATCGCGGATGAACCAATACGAGGACCTAGAACCCGGAAAGAAAGAAAAAGGAAGAACCGATCGGAAACGTGTTTTAACGTATTGTGTCGATTTAGTCAACCTCAGGTATGCGACGTTTGTCTTCATTTGTTTACAGTCTATAAAATACTGTTCTTTTCACAGTCGTCCAAGCAGATTTATTTCCCTTAGTGAAATATTACCGCTACTTCTTGAAACGTTAGCGAGACTTATTAAATCTTCATTTATGTAATCATATCACTTTGACCTTTCTATGGAATTTTAACATTTTCTATTCTTACCTGTGAATTTCCTATATTTATTACCTCGCATATTATGCATATATTGTGAGAAAAATTCGAAGCTAATGTAATAGTATAGTAACAATCGTATATTTTTCTTATGCTTCGCTTTCGAAACTTCCTTACATTCTTTACTGCAAAAATATAAAGGGACAGCTTCAAAGGAAACAACACAAGCTTCAGCGTCGCAGTGAATTATCCACTATTAAAAAACTAACTCGGGGAACGTCTCGAACTTCCTCGATCCATAAAGAGATTCGACCCAAGTAAAACCGCCAAAACATTTCATTAACCCGCGATACCGTAGAATCGTTGCTTATCGCCGGTCGATTCGATCGCGCACGAATAAAAACCCCGGGAAACCTCGGCGCGGTCTCGCGGGACGAAAAATTCCGCGCGAACGTCCCCGGCATTGAGAACTCTTTACACCGTCCGTAAAAAGTTCCCGGGTGCATTCGTATGCAGCGTCCGGCGTTTCAAATCCCGTGCTATCTAAAACGGAGTTCCTTCTCAAAATCTCGTTTCCGAAATTGGCACATTTCCTCGCGGGTTTAAGAAGAAGAGGAGGTGGAGGAGGAGAAAGAAGAAGAAGAAGAAGAAAAAGAAAAAGAAGAAAAAAAGAAGGCGGCAGAAAAGAACGCAACACTTCCGCGCAAATCCACTTCGAGCTCTCGAGCGGAAGAGGGTCAAAGTGCAGCCGCGTTGAAGCGTCGCGTCGCGTCCGTGTATGTGCAAATATTCTTCGCAACGATCCCCGGGAATATTCGGGTTAAATCCGCGGACCGTCGTCCCAGACGGTCGCTCGCTACTGGTTTCTAACGAGTTAGTGACCGGTGACGTCTTTGGGTGTCTTTGAAAACTGTTATAATTAGAATCGGTTGTATAGACGTTATTATATAATAAACTACTGGAGTTTAAAAATATATTGGAATCGTTTAAGTAGAATAAAAACAAAATTGTTATATAAATATTGTTATAAGATGTGGATATTATCTGTATTTATTTATACGCTAATATTGCAATGTTTGTTTGTACGCATTTTCGTTTAACCCCTTACACTACGATTTCTTTCGCAACTGCTAAAATGATGTAATTTATTATTAAAAAATATAATATTTGGTTTGAACACAGAACAACGGAAAATTCAGTTGTTAAATTCCACTTTAAACTTTCATCGCGATATCCTAAGGTAAAAGGTAATCTAATAACCTAAGGTAAGGTAACATTCATTACCAATGTAACTAGTCCAATCGACACTGAGACAACCCAATGTTCAGCCCCATTGGGATCAATGGGTCTCCTCGCGATACAAATTTACTGTACCAACACTCAACAGTTAGCACCGAAAGAAAAACACTTTGCCTGCAGATATGCGGCCAGCCAAATAAGTCGCCAACGAACGCTGGAAAAACGACCGCAGAGGAAGAGAAAGGGGCACGGTGGCACCCGGCGTTCTCCTTTTATAATTAATCGACCCGACTTCCGGTTTCGGTCGCGTTGCGCCAGCCGACGTTCGCAATACCCGGGTTAGTGCATTATCGTGTACCAAGTCTCTAGCTTTTGTCCGTCCAGCGATCTGGTTACAAGTACAATCGATCAGAGGGAGAAAGAGAAAGGGGCGGCGCTAGAGAAAGAGAGGTTCAGAGAGGGAAGGTATGTATGTGTCTAATTACTATAGCACCGGAACGCGGTGTTCATGATGCGACAGAATGATATTCCGATTGCAGAATGCGCGCGGCCATGAATCGTTGCATCAATGTCCGGCCCCGTGTACCGCGTACGTGAGCCTGACGGTTGCACGTAAACGGTATACAGAGAGGCCGGGCATTATGAGAATTAACAATGGACCTCTTGAAACGTTCGGAACTC